GTAGAGTAGAGATGAGGACTCGAGATGACCTAAGTAATTATTTTGGGACCAGACTGTTTCAAATTTCCAATGAATATAGGGAACCCAATGTAAAGGAAACGGATAAATAATATAAATACACATAACATTTTGCAATATGTATCATATGATACATCAATTTTAATTCTATGAAATTATATACGAGGTATTGATTTCATTTAATTTTTACAAATTATTAAAATTATTATCAAGTAACATCATTATCTTATGGTAAAATGTTAAAATCATCGTGGCATTAAGTTTCACGACGAGATATTAAAATGAAACTTAAACTATATGTTAGGTATGATTTTTTTTAAAAAATAGGTATTAAAATGAAACATAAGTATTAAACTTGTAGTTTACCCCATGTAAATACTAAATTATTAAATTTATTATAAGAAAAACATGTATAATACTTATTAAATTTGACTTCTAAAAAACGTATATTACTTTAGAATTTGAAAACCACTTATATATCATTTATATAAAAAAGTTAACATCTATTTTATTATTATTTTATCTTTTAGAATGAAAATCTATTTTCTTTTCTCATTTCTAACTATAAGAAATGAATTTTTTTTTAATGTTTTTCTTGTTTGGTTGTTTATCTTCTTTGAATTGTTCATTCTTTTCTGAATTAATAACCTCAATCAAATTATTAAGTATTTAACTTTTAATTTCATTTAAATTGAGTGTAATTTTTTAAAAATAATTTTTAATTCAATTTATACTTATGGTTTATTTCAAAATCTATATTTATTAGGTGGTTCATGAATTATCTCTAAAACTTAGACACAATTTTAGATGATATTATATCGATATATTTTATTTCTTAAATTTTCATGTGAACAGATGAATTTTAGTATTTATAAAAATATTCTTTTTATTAATTAATTAATATATTTTTCCCTTAAAATGGTATTCTCAAAAAAAATTGTTGAATTTCGTCATTGGTTACAGGGTTTCATATTAACTAATTCAAATTGATGTATATCGCGCATTTTATTTTATTGGATAAATCTCTTCTTAAAAATTTTCTACATGTACATAGATTTAAATTCAAAATATTCTGAACGATATCAAATTACTTACCATTTGAACTAATATATCATAATTTTAATTATAAACATACAAATCTTACTATTCGAACCCACAAGCTGATTTGAATGATGAAAATCGCTAATGAACGCAAAGAATTGTCCAAAGGAGTATTTTGCCCATCATTTGAAAGCCCAATAGATGATCATTTGCAAGATTATACAAGCTTACCATACGGGAATATACACAGAAAACACCCCTAAATGCAAAACCCCTGGAAAGCCTAAACCCTTGTACAAACAAACCCAAAGACCTCCAAAATCCCGCCACCAAAAATGTCCGCCGCCAGGTCCGTCATCCGTTCCGCGGCCGCCCGAGCTTCAGCGGCAACCAGACTCGCTGGTTCAACCAAGTCTATGCCGCGACCCGCTTGCTCGCCCTTTCGGATCTCCAACCAGAACCCGTTACATGCTCGTATTTTCAGGTAATGGATATTAAATTCTTATATTTTATCTCCTAGGAAATAAATTAATAGAATATTTCTTAATAAATTTGAAAAAAATAGGTCACCGGTGGAGATGAGCTGCTGTGTGGAAACTGCTGCCGTATCACACGGCCACTGCTTCAGCTTTCCTGACTTCCATGCTTTCTGTTTCTCGCCGGAGATCCGGTTGGACCGCTGAAGGTATTTCTTTACACTTTTTTTTTGATCTGTTTAAATTATTAGGTATTAAAGCATTCGAAGTTTCTAACTTTTAACTACATAGGAAGTCTGCCTATTTTTCTGATAGAGAAAGCTTGCGTTCTTAATGACTGAATGAAACTTGAATTGAGAGTAACTAATTACAGAAGTGAGATACTAAAACCATATTTGGTCCTTAATAACAGAAGATGTGGTTTCCCGCCTTCCCTAAGGATAACCTTCAGTACTTTGTTGCCATGTTTGTTATTTGTCGGATATCTTGTAACCAGAAGAGGTGTTGGCAATAAAATAGCAGTAAGGGGAATTTTTTTATTATAACTAGAATTTATGAGGGAAAGTAGGCTGTATCTGCTAGGCATAAACGGCTGCTGGACGACAAGAAGTTTCATAGACAACCACTCAAAAACAATAGCCAAATGTTGCATTGCACTTCCCCTTTCATCTCCCTTCTCTTCCCTTCCGTTTTTGGATAGGTAAAATAATCACTTCTCTCTGTCTTGTAAATAAGTGGAAGAATGTAAACTTTTTTTATTGTTTTGTACGCCAATACAAGACTAGATGAAGGACAAGGCACAGAGAGGGAGTGAATTGTATTTGTTTTTCATTTTAAATTTTTTTGGGACTGCTACTGAATTTTTCTTCGGTGTTTGAGTGGATCATAATTGTGAAATGGCAAGAGTTTGAATGCTATGCCTATAGTTTCATGGTTTTAGAGCCATAAATGAAAAATTAAACGTTTTTAATTAGTAAGTTGATTGTTCCTGAAATTACTGTTAACCTTCTGAAAAGTGAACCATGTTATTTTCTGAATGTTGAGACTTGCTTACTCCTTGACGTACACTATGGATGGGAAAGGGATAAAAGGCTCTCGGTGATGCAATTCAGTACAACTTTTCAAAGAACAAATGCATGAAATCTAAACTTGAGATGATATGGGTTTTGCTTATGCATAATTGAGGTGAGATTGTTATTTGGTGGTTAATAATTAATAAGTTTTCCAACTTAACTTGAACTAAACCTATTTATGTTCTTATTCGTGCCAGTATAAGTAGATATGAGACCAATAATGATTTGTTGTTTCACCCAGATTGCAATGATGATGTATGATGAATGTCGGAGAGTTCGGGCAACATTTTTGATAAATGTACTCTAAGACAAGGTGGTGGAATAAAGCTTTTTATTAGGGTCTTTAGATACTTTCCCCTGTTCATAAATTTAACATTCTTATGGAGTTGGAAGGAATTTAATCATAGATAGGTGCTTTTGAAGGTCTTATGATCTTAGTTTAAAAAAGCGCCGCTTAAGCTCGATTAAAGCGCTAAGCGACTTGAGCGAGGCCTCTGGCGCTTCAGCATAGCAAAAGCACTACGAATTCATTAAGCGGTAGTAATCGGCGCTTTTACAGCGCTTTTAGCAAAGTGCTAATCGGCGCTTAATCGCGAATTTAGAAGATAGGATTCTGGGCTTTAGTAGATATAATTTTTGGGCTTGTTTAGGGTTTAGTGGGCTATTCAGGCTTAGATTGGCTTTTAGTTTAGGTGGGCTAGGGTAAAAAATGTGATTTAAATAAGCAGTAATATAAGAATTTAGAGAACGATTGAGGTTGACCTTGAGCAGTAAAAAATTCCCAGATAGCGATCATCTTCCACGCCTCTCGCCTCTCGCCTCACGCTCACGACTCCTGACTCACGACTCAAGTTTTGATCATCATCTTCCTCTTATCTCACTCGAGTCACGCTGCTGCTGCACTTCATCAACCGGTACGTAATTTTGTTGTTTATATACTTATAGTTTATTGCAAAATTGTGTTTTATAGTTTATAGAATACTGTTCTTCTTTATAGCTTATTGCTTTCTCCTTCTTTAAGTACTTAGTATTGCTGAATTTTACATGTAGACTAAGACAAGCAAAATGCTTGTTAAACTGTTTTATAGTTGTTACTGCCTTACTGGTATAGTTTGTAACTTTGCATACTGGATTACTGGTATTGTTCTGTTATTTTAGTTTGACTTTATGTTTAATTTATCTTTTATAGAATGACTTCAATGGCGGGTAAGGCGGGTTCTTCAAAGAACAGGTCAGAAGACCCGGTTAGGAAATATACAATACAAGATCTGAATAATAAAATCAGCTTTACATGCTCTTTTTGTGGACAAACATTTAAGGGAGGTGTGTTTCGGATCAAACTGCATGTGATTGGGGTTTTAAGGATGCTCGTAAATGTCCAAACTGTCCGGAGCATGTGCGGGAAGAATTAAATGTGTTCATGATGAAGAAACAAACGGCAAAGGCAGAACAACATATGCAAGCAAAAAACTGGATGCACCAACAACAAGCTGATGAATACGATGGTGAAGAAGATGTTGTTGAAATAGGCGGCCGTAGTAGCAAGATGCCCCCACCCAAAAACCAAGGCAAAAAGGTCCTATGGACATGTACTTCACTCCTAATCCTCGAGAAGCAATCAAAGCTAGGAAGGAAGGGAGACAACAACCATCAATGAAACGTGTCGAAAGGACCTTAGGGATAAAGTTTGTCATGAGATTGGGAGGTGGTTTTACGATGCAGGTATTATAATAATTAAATATTTAATTTTTTGAGTTTTAAGTTGCTGGAAGTCTTTTTTTTTGTTTATGCTGATGGAATTTTTTTTTATGTAGGCATTCCTTTTAATGCCGCAACATATGAGAGTTTTCAAATAATGATCGAAGCAATCGAACAGTTTGGCCCCGGGATGAAAGCACCAAGTATGTACGAGTTAAGAGTTCCCATACTTAACAAGGAAGTAGAGGAAGTTCAAAACCAAATTGTGGAAATAAGAAAGAATGGGCAGAAAAAGGTTGTTCAATACTATCGGATGGATGGCGTGATTCCGTTGTTCAAAACGATATCATCAACTTCCTGGTAAACTCCCCAAAGGGTTCGGTCTTCGTGAAGTCACTTGATGTTTCTGATGTTTCAAAGGATGCTGATTTGTTGTTTCATGTTCTTGATAAAATGGTGGAGGAAGTTGGTGAAGAGAATGTGGTGCAGGTGGTGACTGATAATGCATCAGCTTATGTGAAGGCAGGTAAGAGTTGAGTTGCAACTTTAGTCTTTTGATAATCTTTTGTCTAATGTCATCTACTCATCTTATTCCTCTAACTTTGTAGGGAAGTTGTTGGAAGCTAAAAGACCACTTCTATTGGACACCATGTGCTGCACACTGCCTAGACTTGATGTTGGAGGATATTGGCAAACACATTCCTAGGGTTAAAAATGCTTTAAAAAAGGCCATTTACTTAAATGGATATATACTGTCATGTTGGTTTGGTGAACTTGATGAGAAAGTTCACAAACCAAAGAAACTTGCATAGACCGGCCATCACAAGATTTGCTACTTCCTTCATCACTCTTGCCCAGATCCACAAACAAAAAAACAATTTGAGGAAGATGGTGACTTCTTAAGAGTGGGAAGCGAGCAAGTGGTCTAAAGAACCCACGGGTAAGAAAATAAAGTCTTACTTTTTGCAAGAAACGTTTTGGAGGAATGTACTTTATTCTCTCAAGTTGACGGGCCCCTTAGTGAAAGTTCTTAGACTAGTTGATGGAGAAAAAAATCCAGCCATGGGGTACATCTATGAGGCAATGGATAGAGCTAAGGAGGCGATTCGTGATAGTTTTCCGAATCGAGAGGATGATTACAAGAAAGCTTTTGAAATTATAGATCATAGGTGGGAATGTCAACTACATAAACCTTTGCATGCTGCGGGACATTTCTTGAACCCGGGGATCTTTTATGATGAAGTTGGTGGTGTGCTTTGTGAAGAAGTTGAAAACGGTTTTTATGAATGCATGTTGAGGCTTGTTCACTACCAAGAAACGCAAGACAAGATTTCAGACGAGTTAGTTAAATACCGAAAGGCAGAAGGTCTCTTTGGTATTAGCTTGGCTGTTAGGCAAAGGAAAACAAAATCACCAGGTAAAAAAATGCTACTTTATATTTTAAGTTTTAAATTATATTAATTATTCTCTCAAATATAGTTTATGCTTCATGTTCATTTTACATTTTTTTATAGCTGATTGGTGGACAATGTATGGATCTTCGGCTCCTAACTTGAAAAACTTTGCTATACGGATTCTTAGTCTCACTTGTAGTGCTACAAGTTTTAAGAGAAACTGGAGTTTTTTCAACAAGTAAGTTATTTTACATGTTTTTTCTTATAATATTGGAAATTATATATATGCATAATGTTGCTAACATCCAGTTTGGTTTTTTCTTGTAGCTTCACACTAAGAAACGAAATAGACTAGCACAATCTAGATTGAATGACATGGTGTTTGTGAAATTCAATCATGCCTTGGAGCGTCTAGCTAAAAGTAAGGAGATCGATCCTATTCTTTTGCAAGATATTGATGAGAGCAATGAGTGGTTGATGGGAAGAATGGAAGATGATGAAGATGATGATGAGGCGGTGTTTGTTGGTGAGGATTTGATATGGAGTGATGTTGCTGACGCTTCCGGTGCATATGAGTCTAGTTATCTAACTAGAGCATCAAAAGTAGTGAATGATGGAGCCGGACCATCGAGAAATGATAAAGGAAAATCTCCTGCTCATAATCCTATCTCTAGTAGACCATCTCGTAGATGCTTAGTTGATGAAGATGAGATGGAAGAAAATATTGGAGTGTCTACTGATGAAGGAGATGGTGTTGACCGAGTTGATAACGATGACGATTTAGAGGATTTTTAGTTATAAGGAATTGAGATTTAGAAAAATACTTTTGTTCATCTCACTTTAGACTACTTTTGGTGTTAGTGTAGACCATCTTTTGAGATTAATATGCTCTTATAGTCGTATGGTTAATGATATATAAATATTTAAGTGTTTATAATTAAGTAAATTGATATATTTTGGTGTTTAAGTACTTATAAGTTTTGAATATGCATTTACACTTTGATATTTAAGTATTTATAAGATAATTTTATAAATATTCTGTATTTTTGTGAATTTCGGCTTTTTTGACGCTTCGTGTGCATAAAGCGAGCGCTTTCGCTTAGCGCTTAGCGTTTCGGCGTCTAGGACCCTAGGCGCTTTACGCTTTTTAAAACCAAGCTTATGATTGAACGGATCAGATTATGAATATGATTATTTTGTTATTTTATTAATGCCTGTAAAAGCTAAATGAACCGCTCTAAATCTTTAGGAGCTGTAAGGGAATGAGCATTTTCATAAGTATTGTCTTTGACAAATTGAATTTCATGCATATATCGACTTTGGCTGTACCAAACGTCCAAACCCTAGATTTTGAACCTATAGCCTTCCTAGAATACAATCTTTTTCTTCCATTGGCCACTGCTCAAGTTCGTATTTTTTTAACCTGTATTCTCTGTATCCAAATCCTCACATTTTTTGTGTGTTGATGATAGAGATGTGATCTGAACCTTTATAAAATGCAGTTGAAACACAAATATCATTGTTTATCTTCTTTAGTGTGGATAAAATGGTAACAAATTTCTAATACCATGAACCTATTTTCTTCTTACTGTAGATGGATGATTGTTGTTGGGATGTGCGGTGCTATTCATCTCCATGAAAATTCGACCAACCTTGTAGGACTTTGATGCATGTATTATTCTTGGACAAATGTGAAAATCCTATGTTATTACAACATTTGTTTTGAGCGTCTGGAAGTAGGTATCACATACCAATTTTTTTATTCTCTGAATAAGTTAAATACCTTATATCACCTGGTTTCATGTTTCTTTTTCTTCCTGTTTCTCCCTTGAATAATTTGTAGCTTATATGATCAAATGTGCTCCCATGGATAGCATTCTTAACTGAATAATAAATCAACCATCCTTGGTTTCAAGTAGAGTTGATATCTTATTGATGCAAAGTGAGTAATGCCCTGAACTTTAGCACTTTGTCCAACTTGGTCCCTAAACATTTTGTTGTCCATAGTGGCCTTGGAACCTGGCAACTTTTGGATATTGTGACACTTTGATAAAGAAACATATTTTTCTAAACAAAAAATCAAGTGATATGTCAGAATCACATCATTCAAAGGACCAAAGATTCAAGTTCCGTGACCAAGTTGGGAAAGTTGTCATGCACAATAAAGGTTTAGTGGGCATATTGTGAAACGTGGTCAAGTTTAGGGGGGCAAAATGTGATATTAGAGTAGTACGATCTCCATGAATTTTCAATAGCGTCAATGTCAACTCTCATTTAGTTGATTTCCGAGTACTTGAAGTGAATATCCTTTTGCGGCATAATTAAGACTCTTGAGGCTATTCGTCCCACCATTAAGCAAAACATTGCCTTTTCTTTCCAACTTGAAATTTACATAGGTGGTAATTGGTTAAGCAACAACAATTAACTAATCCAAAGGCCAACGCATCTCCTCCCACAAGATATGGCATATAAGAGATTGCTGGGTTGTCACGTTATGCTGGTGCGCCTAAAACACAAACGGGAAAACATGGGGATGATATCCCTCTTTATTATAGAATTGCGTAATACAATAATTGTATTAAATAATTTCTCTTATAAAAGGAAAGTCTCATTATTGTAAAATACCTCACTTGTGCTAATTAAACGATAAAACTTCAACTTAACTATTCCTACGCATGGATTTAAAATAATTTATTTTTCAAGGGAAATATGATAGATTGGTATTTTAAATGTCACATATGTTTATGTACTTAGGGACAATTATAGCTCGAATCAGGTTATTTTTTATTGATTCGAGTTTTTGTCTTTCATATGTTACTTGATTTTATCCAAATTTAAAAAGTTTCATTAACTCAAAATTTAATTTAATTTTAAGTAAATTTACGTACTTGATATGGTATATATAATTTATTTATTAGATAAAATAGAGATTTAACTGAAAAATATATAGACAAAGATTTTATTAATTATTTTAAATATATGAGAATGAGATACTTGTACAATTATTCTCAAGTCAAGTTAAATTTTTTTTATCTTAAACTTAAATTCGATTTGATATAGTTCTTAAAAAAAACTCAATCTAATATAATTTTGACTCAATTTTTTTTAAAAAAAGACAATCTCATAAAATTGAATTAAGTTAAAATTTATTAGATTCGATTTTTTTAATATGTGGTAAATATAAAGTAATATATGTTCAAAGATAATTTTAACCTCTTGATATTGAACACTCACACTTTTAACATTCTCGATGCTCAAATCTAAATCTTCAAGAAATAATAATATTTTTTTACTACGAAGATAATTTATTTCATGCTATATTCTAATCTTATGTTTATCCGGATGTATTGGAATTAAATTTTCCATAAGAAATACAATACATCACATACGTTTGGGTTAATAATAATCCACCCGGCTCCATGTGTATTCAATTGATAAATGGATAAGACTCACTGAGGTCATGATGACTCGACATCCCAATAATAAACAAAGATTTAAACAATTATAGGTCAAACTGTACTTTTGGTCCCTTTGCTATTCTCACATTTAAGATTTAACTATTGTATTTCAGTTTGATATATATCAAATTTAACATAATTTCATTATTTTATTTCAGTTTTTCCATTAAGTGTCATTTTCTAAGCACACAAAAAGAAATTTATTTCAACGTAATGAGTTGGAATGAAGATTTTTCTAAAAAGTTGTGGCTTAATGGACAAACTGATGATAGAAAATGACTACATCTAACTAAAGTGTAAGGACTAGGTTCTAAATTTGAGTATAGACAAGGACTACAACTAAAGATTCGACCACCAATTGTGTAAACTGTAAGGCTTGATAAAGTAAAACAGGGGATCACTTGCAGAACAACGACCCATATGAAAACTAGAAGTCCAAGTAGACAGAGCCAGAAGTGCAGCATCAGTGGTTGGTGGCGGCGGGTCGGTCACAACTTTATCATAGCTTGTGGCTAAGCCTAAACCCGAGAATGGCAGTTGGCAGACCAGAATTTATATTCTATAGTTTTTATATTTAAGCGTAAATTATGCGTTTAGTACCTAAACTATCACATTTGATCCATTTTAATACCAAAACTTGCATTTTTCAAAACTATGTCTAATATTTAGTTTTTGTTTCATTTTTAGTATCACGCTGAAAACTTAACGGCAGCATTTTTTTATGTGTAAATTACATCATTCAAACTATCTTTTCATTTCTAGTTTGGAAAGTTTAAATTTTTTTAATTTAACTACTCAACTTTTAAATTTCTCTTATTTTAATCACTCTAATTTATTTTATTAATAATTTTGTGACATGAATTTTTTATTTATTTTATTAATATATAAATAAAATATTTTTTTAAAAAGTGATTAATTATGAGTAATTTGAAGTTGAGTAGTTAAATAAAAAAAAGTAAATTTTAGTACCAAACTAGAAATGAAAAGATAGTTTGAATGATGTAATTTACTCATAAAAAGGTGCCACAGGCAAATGACCCATTAAGTTCTTAACAATGAGGTACTAAAATTAAACAAAAACTAAAAGTTAGGTATGATTTTAAAAAATTAAAAGTTTAAATACTAAAACATATCAAAATTGATCATTTAAGTACCAAATACCTAGTTTATTCTATATTTAAATATATCTAGAATTAACTTGGATTATTTTTTATGTGTTTTTTCACCTTTTCAAAACATGATATTATCTTTTATTTAATCTTATGATGTTCTTATTATGAATCATTGTTACCGTTGTTCATTCAATTTATTCTATTTGATTATCAAATATTCAGTAGAATACCCAACGTAAAATTAAATAGTAAAGAAACGTTTTAATATCAAATATTTTAGGATCATCACTCTATTTTGAAAAAAAAAATATTTGATAAAATATATAATGTAAATGCTTATAAACTCTCAAAGTTGTGCCAACTAGTATTGGCCCAAGTGGTTGGGATTCAAGAATTTGAGCTTGTAAGGTCAAGTTCGAATCCCACCACCGTTACTCTTGGTGGGCAATTTGTAGAGTCTTATATAAATCTCAATTGAGTCTTAGGTATGTCATGACCTTGTACTGGGTATATATATATATGTGTGTGCGCGCACGCGCTTTTTTTTAAATATATTTAGTATCATATCCGAATTAGAATTTAATCCTAAGATGATGATTAGCTAATAAAATTATTCAATGGATATGTTTTAAAATTTAAGGATCAACATAGAATATAGATTACAGTTTGAGGACGTCTTATGGAATTAACCCAAATTGATATAATAACACCACTATGATAGTCTACATTTAATTAGATAATCATCAAGCAAAGTCCAATTATATAAGAATCTAGGGAGTGCTTTGACTCTGCCGCTGCTCTTTTTCTTTTGTATTTCGACTTTCCTTGGGTTCTGTTTTTGTTTGGCGAGATAAGGCTTCTTTTGATTTGCAACGATGATGGAGCTGTTCGTGCTGGGGTGTACCGGAGTTGTGGTGTTCCTTCACGGAGCCAACTTCTTCTTCCATGTTCTTTCCCCAGCACCTCGCTGTTCGTTCTCTCAGGTTCGTTCATTGTTTTCAAAATTCCCAGAATCTGGGTATTATTATTTCATAAAGCAAGGTTCTGGGAAAAAGATCTCAAATTTCTTATTTTACAAGCTTCACCTGCTAAAACTACGTACCGGGTATTGAGTATTGATTCTGTCATCGGATCAAGGTTCAATCTAGCGTTACAATTAGTAATTTAGTGTCGTTGTTGTTGTGTTTATTGATTCTGATGTTTTAATTTA